GTCTATAATCTATTGGTTATATTCAGTTAGGAGCCTCGGCTTTACACAGGAAATGATAAATCTTGACTTTAAATGTAGATTTTACTGGGTAGTCAATTATATTCTAAACCAGAGTAATATTTGGCACTTTGAGAAAATTCAACATCCAAAAGCAGAGTTGCTATAATAAATATAGGATTGCAGGTTCTGTTCACAATTAGTGTTTTTGTGTTCTTTGGTTAGATTCCTGGGAATGGGAGAAATAGGGCTATATGGCGGGTCCATTTTTGGTGTGTATACATAAAGGAATACCACTCAGCAATAAAACAAACTCATGCCATTTGCAGTAATGTGAATGGAGCTGAAAGTAATTATATTAGAAAAATAAATTCAGAAGGGAAAAAATAAATATTCGATGTATTCACTTACTTGTGGAATCTAAATAAATTAAAGGGTCAGACAAAGACAAACCTTGAAAGCTGATAATATCAGGAATCCAGGAGGGGGCAGGAGTAAAAACAGGGTAAGGGAGGAGTCCAAGGACTATGGTTATGGATGAAGGGTGCTTTAATGGTGGGAGAAGTACAGCGAACACACCTGTGGGGAGAAGTCATACTGAACACAAATCAACAACAATGTAACAGAATTACTTCCTTTAAAAATAAATAAAAAAAAAAAGCTGGCCCTCCCTGGTGGTGCAGTGGGTTAAAGCACAACACAAAGAAGCTTAAACCACTTCCACATGAGTTCGATTCCTGCCTGCCCCGGAGGTGACCACATGGCGTGGCAGACCTCTCCTGACCCGCCCGCTGCTCCCCTCAGCAGTGTACTTCGTCGATCTGCCTGTTCTGCTCCCCACTCTGTCTCTGGTGAATCCTCTCACCCTCTGCATCTCTGGCCTGTACCCCAGTTCTGTACAAATAAATAAATAAATCTTTAAAAAAAAAAAGCTGATGAGTAACTAATATCTATGATTTGCTCCCTTTCTAAACAAAAAAGTGTAATAGTCACTACTGCTTCACCTGGATTAGCCATTAAAAACCTCACACTTTTATAAAGACAACTTTTCCCAGCAAGTATTATATTAGAGATTTTTATAAATTTTTGCTTATGAAAGGTAATCATTACATTTACACTTAGCAAGGACAAGTCAGAGAGTGGTAAAAATGGATCAAAAGCCAAAGGTGACCCAGAAATAGAAAGCATAAAATGTAAACAATAAGAAAATCATGAAAATCAGCCAAGATAGAATCTAACTGCAAAGTGCTTGACACAATAATGTAGTCTGCTATAACTTGTTGCTATCATCGTAGATATCAACAAACATAAAAAGACAATAAAATATCACATTGATACCAACATATTGAAGCTCATTTCACAAAGTGATTCTGTTCTATTAAGTTCAAGTCCAGAAAAGAAAAGATACAGCTGAATTCTACGATGGGCTTCATCAAGTTAACTTCTATCTTTGACAAAAGTTGTCTCCCAACAATACATTCTTTAATCTTCCCTCCTTCCCAATATTTAAACAGGCAATGCCACAATTACGTTAGTTCACTCTTTAATGTACTTTTAAATCATCATCTTTTCCTGGGGGCTTCATTTTTAATCCTTATAAATGATTCTGCCTTACTTCAGTAACAGTTTCCTGAAAGCACATAGGAAAGTATATTGAAGTTCTGTGAATATTTAAAACCCTTGAAAGTTAGCTCCCTAAGGCATCCAAAGAGTCAGGCTGATTGCATTCTGGCACATTAGTAAGAGTGTTTAAACAAAAGATGGAAATAGGCCACACCCCTTACTTAATAGGTCACACTAGGCATGATATGAGTGAGTTTGATGCTGCCAGATTAGAAGGTTCTTCTTCCACCCAAAGCAGAGCATTAAAAGATGCATTACCAAGGGGAGCAGATACAGCTTTTGCAGCTTCATCGCTATGATCTTATGTGAGTAGGTCATACCCATCTCAGTAATGATCAATTTGTTTATTAATTTTAGAATCCAGAATGCCCAGTAAAATTATTTCTTCTCCATAGTTTTACCAATAAAATCCACTGTCATCTGTTCTACATTCTGAAAATAACCTAAAACACATGCTTGCTTTAATAATAATCCATTTAAAATTCTGTAGTAACCTGTCAATTCAGGTAGGTAAATGATTTGACTGTTACTATTTTATTTATTTATTTATTTTTACACAACAGACTGCTTAGTCACTCTGGTGTTCTAGTGAAAAGACTCACAATTTTAATGTTAAGTGGGGGCAACAGGTAACAGGGGGCAAGAGAAGATTTTGAAGGCAAATTATTCATGGCTTTCTAAGTAGACTATCATTGCTCTGAGGAAAAGGAGAGGATATATTTGTACTTCCTAGTAATACTGCAAAAGAGATGAGCATAAAGATACCCCAATTTTAGCACCATTTTGGGTGAAATGGTGTAGAAACAGAAGAAAAGCTAGACAATACCTAGCATTAGGTGATGAAAACAAATTCTTTACCTCCTTTTTTTTTCCTTTTAAGATTTATTTATTTGTGCATACAGAATTGGGGTAGAGGCCAGAGGCTCAGGGGCAGCGAGAATCTTCACCAGAGACAGAGTGGGGAGCAGAACAGGCAGATCGACAAAGTACACTGCTGAGGGGAGCAGCGGGCAGGTCAGGAGAGGTCTGCCACGCCATGTGGTCACCTCCTGGGCAGGCTGGGAATTGAACTCATGCAGAAGTGGCTTTAGCTTCTTAGTGCTGTGTTTTAACCCCCTGCACGACCAGGGAGGGCCTCAAATTCTTTATCTTTTAGGTACTAAAATTTCGTGTTCCTCTGCAAGTCAATGAGAACTTTTTCTTCCAGATAATGCCATTGCTGATATTTTATATACAAGATTTGTAAATTCTTGATTTTAAATTCCCATTATAACTTGCACCCATAGCCTAATTTATTAGAAATCATACTTTAAAATCTTCTTTACATGTTTGCAAACATTCTATTAGTGGTAAATAGTTTCACTTGTATAATATGAAAATAATGGGTTTTTATTAGTAATACAGGTTTTGTATTAGCAAAACCTATATATAATATGAAAATATAGGTTTGTAATAACAAAAGAGATTTTAGAAACTGGAAATTCATACACCTAAAGCTCCCTTGCATGAGGGAAGTCAAAATTTAGTTCAATTATTAAATTTTACATGTTATCAAATTATATATTAATATGTCATCAAAAGTCTCATTAAATAGATACTTAACACATAGAACTGGAGTAGAAGCACAAATATGTTTATAGATGTAAGTAATTAGTAAGTCAAGTGTAGTAAATACATACAAAGAAACTGTTCTTTATTAAAATAGATGAAACTTCTGATATGTTTTATAACATGGATGAGTGTTTGGGACATCATATGAAATCACATAAGCAGGTCAGAAAAGACAAATTCTGTCTGGTTGCACTTTGCTGAAGTTGCAAGACCAGTCCCATTTGTAGAAACAGAATGTGGGATTATGATTGTGGACAATGGTGGAAGGGGAATGGGAATATATTGCTTTGTTTAATGGCCCAGAGACTCAGTTGGAGAAGCCAAGGGTCCTGGAAATGGACATTGGTGACAGTTGCAAAACAAATTAGGTATACTTATTACTACTGTGCTAATGGTACACTCAAAAATGGGTATGGCAGCAAGTTTAAGAAACTTGCTTACCACTCTACAGTTACTAATTATCTATTGATTTTTAAAAAAAATAACAGGTGGGAATAATGGAAAATAAGAAGCCTTTAAGTCAAAAGAAATGTTTGAAGGACTGAAGTGCTTCAGGAAAGTGAAAATGAGGGCCATCATCAGAGACTTCATCATTACTAGGGAGTAGAACCTGCACTTTGGCAAATGAAAGATATATTTAGCAAGGAAGAGGTGTATTTCCATGAGGGCTATAGAGCATCAAGGATATTGCTGCAGTACACTGATGTTGCTCAAGTATGGTTTGAGAACTTGAGTATTTTGCACTGCCTTTCTCCTTCCTGAGTGGTATTCAGATATGGGATGGATATGTAAGTAGGAACAGAGGGATGGCCATGGAAGAAGTGAGCCTCCTCTCTTACATGTCTTCACTGAATACACCATCTCCTTGAGACTGAATTAGCATCCCCATCTCGGCAGCTGTGACCTTATTTAGTCAACAAATTGGAAGAGGTTTGATCTAATAAGCCAGAGGTGAAAATACTTTTAAAAAGTAATATTGTTTTGAAACTGAACTAGAAATAAATTTACCTTTGTGATTAAGTGAAGTGAAAGTTTCCTTTTCTCTTTTTACCTAGTGAAGTTGTGATTCTGTGACTTTGAGGGGAACACTTTCATCACACAAAATGTCTTATAGTTACTGAAAATATAAGTAAACTTTATAGTGTCACATTGGGGGAAATCTTCAAATAGGGTTTATTGTTTGCAGTGTATAATGATAAAGTTAAACTAATGCACTATAAATTCCAAATAAAGTTATTTGTATTTGTAGGGTAAGTTCTTTCTGATGCTTGTTTTGAGCTCATCAGTCCTCTTGTGTGGAAAGTAAAAATGCCATTCCTGAGTAAATGATGTCAGGAAAAGTTATCTGATTTTGGTAAATCTCAAGTTACCTGATTTTGGTATACCTGTAACTTGTATTATAAAGGACTAAAAATTTATGTAGTTGGGCACTTTTATTTAGTGTACACATAAAAATGATACTTAAAAAAATTTCCTCTTGTCCACTTAAGTTGGTGTCTTTGCGAAGTTCTTGCAATTTATCAAGGTCATTTTTCATTATGCCAATTAATCAAAAAGCTAAATATTACTTATTTTTAAAAACTTAAAAATGAGCAAAACTTCAAAGAAGTTAAAATTAATCTTATGACCATGTTAAACTTATATCAAATAGGGAGGATCTGAAATAGGTTTAATCATCTTCACATATCTACTTAATAGGAAACATGCACTTCATGAGAACATTGCAAATGATAACTCCATTATTTATTTCTCCATTTGCAGTGTCACTAATGTTTGAAATCATGGAAAGCGGGAACATCACAATGGATTTCATTCTTCTAGGACTCTTTAATCACACAAGTGTCCATGTATTTCTCTTTGTGATGGTCCTGACAAGCGCTTCCATCTCTCTGTTGGGCAACACCCTCATGATTCTCCTGATTCACCGGGACCCGCGGCTCCACACACCCATGTACATCCTACTGAGCCAACTCGCCCTCATGGACCTGATGCTCGTCTCCACCATCGTGCCCAAAATGGCTGCTGACTATGTAATTGACATGAAATCTATCTCCCCCAGCGGCTGTGGTCTCCAAATATTCTTCTTCGTCACTCTGGCAGGGGGTGAGTGTTTCCTCTTGGCAGCCATGGCCTATGACCGCTATGCGGCTGTTTGCCACCCGCTGAGATATCCCATCCTCATGAACTGGCGATTATGCTTGGGAATGACTCTGGGGTCTTGGGTCCTGGGGGCAGCTGATGGACTCATGCAGTCAGCTACTACCCTGAGCTTCACATATTGCAGCGCACGAGAGATTGATCATTTCTTCTGTGAGGCCCCCACTCTGGTACGTTTGGCTTGTGCTGACACTTCTGTCTTTGAGTATGTCATGTACATATGCTGTGTGTTGATGCTGCTGCTTCCATTTTCCCTCATCCTGATGTCCTATGGTCTCATCCTCGCTGCCGTTCTCCGCATGCGCACTAAGGAAGCCCGAAAGAAGGCTTTTGCCACCTGCTCCTCGCATTTGGCGGTGGTGGGACTCTTTTATGGAGCAGCACTTTTTATCTACATAAGACCCAAATCCTACCGCTTGGCTAGCCATGACAAGGTTGTGTCTCTGTTCTATACCATTGTCACCCCTGTGCTGAACCCCCTCATTTACAGTCTGAGGAACAAAGAAGTCAAGGGAGCCTTGAGAAAGTGTCTGGATCAGTGTGCTGCCTTAACTCGTAACTAAGATTCTATTGATGAGGCCCAAAGTTCAAAGTTGTACCATGTCATTGCACAAGAATTCCTAAAGAGGTTATCTGTGCATTATACTGTTATTTCTGTTTTACTAAAATGCAGCTGGATCTCCATGGGGGTCACTTATTAAGCTGTCAACAAGAAATGAAATTGTGGATTGTTAAAAATCAAACATTCATTTAAATCTTTATTGAAATGTTTCCACACCACACCTTATAGTAAATATTTGTTTAACGAATGAAGTAAGAATAAGCAGTGAAAGAATTTTGAAGATTAATTAATAATGATTAAGATGTTTTTGACCAGTTTCAATATGCACTTGTAACTTGGACCTGCTAGTAAGGACTGTAACTTTCACCAGAACATAACTTCTCTCTGGCCCTTTTCAGGTAAGACCTGTGAGCTCACATAAAATTGCTTGCTTGACTTGTATTTCTAATTTTAGGTGTCGTTTAGAATTTTGCATCAATGAAATATGCACTTGTATTGTTATTGTAATATTTCTCTAAGGTTAAAATTTTCTTCACATTTTTACATTTTTCAGTAGTTTGTTCCCTTGCTTGAACATATCATCATTTTTTAACCTCTTCTTTTCTTGATGGGCATCTGAGCTATTTTCAGTATGGAAATGTTATAGCTAGAGTTGTTATTCTCCTTCTTTTGATATGTTTACTTCTTTTGGTAGATGTTTAAGCTGTTTATCACGATGGGTGTTTGATTTTATACTTCCATAAGCCAAGCACATGAGTACAAGATTGTGGTGGGTATCATCATTTCCAACCTGGAAATTATTCACCTGCCACTAGGCATCCTTGTCAGCGGGATGTCACTAGACATCGTAGTGCTAGAATGTCACTATAGTTGTGTCGATTGTAATGCTGTCATGGGATCCGCATAGGACAATACAGACCTGAACTCCTGGGCTTGGGCGATCCTCTTGTCTAAGACTCCAGAGTACTGGGGCTACCATGTGGGCCACCATGAGACTGTTGTGGGTATTGTTAACCTTTTTCATTTTTTTCTATTCGATTTGGTGTAGTAGCTCATTTAGATTTTAATTTGTACTGATTTTAATGTGTAATGACGCTGGACTTTTGCTTTTGCCTATTTGTACATATTCTTTTGTGAACAATGCATTTAGATATTTTAAAAATGTAGGTGGTCTGAAGCAAAACTATTTGATGGTTTATTAATACACATTATGTAGCATTCATACAATTATTTGGAATTTTTGACAAAATTATATTTGGTTAATTGTTATCATATTTACTGACACGATTTTATTCAGTACTTGATCATTAACTTTCTATTGCATTGGGTATTTCTATAATACATATCTCTATCACCTCCACTGGGCTTCAGACAATACGTTTGTCATCTACTTTAATTATTCAACACAATAAATTATTTCAACTATTGGTAGAATCATGCCTTTGAAAATCTGATGTAACCTTTAAAGTATGCAGTCTTTGCCCAACAGGAAGGATCCTAATAGGTCACAAAATATGATACACTTCTACCAGCAAAGCACAGGAGTGCCAGTTACTCCAGATTGGCAATTGTTAGTGTATATTGCTTATCTTAGTGGTAAATGAGTATATATATATACCTATAGTAGTTTTCAGCCAAGATTTAGTCCATTAAAGATACTGTTTTGTAAAATAAATTATTATAAATATATATTCAGTAACCCATCTGTTTACACACATGTATTTGTAAGACTGTATGACAATAATTTAAAATAATATGTTCAGAAATTAATTTTATATCTTTTGATATTTACCATCGTTGTTTAGTCTGACCTTCACAACTTTGTCTTTTTTTTTGAGTAGCTTGTTAGAATAATTTTATCTCAAGTGAAATAAATGAAACAATAATGTAGAAAAGACAGAGTCAGGGAGGCTGGGACAAAAATATTCATGTAGGCTCCTGAGGAGACTGGAAGTAATACCAAATATTTAGAAGGAAGTCTAGTTGAAAAATTGGTCTTAAACCATGTTTCAGATTTTCTATAGGTGCACAGTCATTTTATTATTAGGTAAACTTATGTTTTGATCAAAGTGTAACTTCACTAAATATATTTTCATAATCTCTTTAAGATGCATTAAGAAGATTAGTTAAACCTTCACTCTGGTGGAATAAAAATATATAGTTTAATATTATAAAATAACTAAATGAACAATACTAAAAAAAATCCTTCACTGGTTAAATACTTTGTGAATGTATTTTTTAACATTTTATTTGCATGTAGTTATTTTATCATAAATTTATGATGTTATCATGTTTTCAGTTTTAAGAAATAGAGTTTATCAGGACTTTTCATGGTCCACCTTCATACACATCTGCATTTTGCTATCTCTTATCTCTTCATCTTTATTTCTCTCTAGTATATAACACCTTAAATGTACATTTCAAACATAAAAATAAGACCAACCATGCAGTACTGGTAGAATTAAAATAGAAGTAAAAGTATTAATAAAAAGTAATGGTAACTATGACTGCTTTTGAATATTTGCTTTGTGCCAAACTCTCTTCTGTGTGTGAATTTAGTTTGTGTGTCTATATGTGTTTGGGTGCATGTATATTTAATGTATTTCATTTAATCTTAAAAAATCCCTGAAGCAGGGATGTAATTTCATATCTACTTGGCATTTTATACAAAGGAAAGACAAAATATGAAATATATTCATAACACAACATTTAAAATTTTCTTGTTTATATCTTTTGGACTTATTAAAGATCCTTAGTATACATTGTTAGTTTCTTAATATAAATATTTGAGCCAACAGTACACTTATTTCTAGACTAGGTAACATTAACTATATATCAGTTGTTTCTGTATTCCATATCAATTGCTTTAAATAAATAATAGTCTTATTTTTCTACATGTACAGAAATTCATTTGACTTCTTCCATGAAATTCCATTGCAGTTGGGTGTATTATCAATAACAGCCAGTTATTTTGAGAAATTGGTCACCAACCCACTAGCTGGTATCTGAATTTTTATAGTAAAACATTTTATCAAGTGAATCATTGATATTCTAAGTATTTTAAAAACTTTAAAAGATAATTTGATGCTCTCATATAATATTAAAACATAAGTGAATGCAACAGATTAAATATTGCCCAAAATTTTTATATCAGAATCTTTCAAGATGGCATCTTTATCCCTCCCATTGGGCACTCTTACCAAGGATATATCAAGAAGACAGAAATTAAACAAGGACACAGTAGTCCTAAATGAAGATCTAGACAAAATAGACTTAATAGACATCCATAGAACCCTGTACCCACAAAACCCAGAATACCCATTCTCCTCAACTGCACATGGGTCATTGTCTAGTTTTGACTACATATTAGGTCATAGGTCAGACATCAGCAAACATATGAAAATTGAGATCATACTAATTATTTTTTTTTACATCATTCTTCATTTTGTGCATTTTAAAATCTCATCTAATTCTTATCCTACAAAACTCCTTCAAAAAATTGAGAAAGAAGGAAAACTAGTACATTCATTTTATGAGGTCAATGTTACATTAATATCAAAACCAAAGAAAGGCAACACAAAAGAAAACTATAGCACAAATCTCCTTAATAAACACAGATGGAAAAATCTTCAATAAAATATTAGCAAACTGAACTCAATAGTGCATCCAAAGGATTATATATCACAGACAAGTGGGACTTGTCCCAGAAACACAGGGTGGTTCAACATCTAAAAATCAATTAACATAATTTACCACATCAACAAAAAATTTAAAAACCATATGATCATATTGATAGATGCTGAGAAAACATTTGATTAAGTTCAACACCCATTTTATGATATGAGGGCCCTCCAAAAACTCAGGATAAAAGGGAGCTTTTTTTTTGTTTTTTAATATATTTATTACATCATCCTTTATTTTTGTACAAAGTATGATTTCCCTGTGAAATTTTCACCATGAATTCTCCTGTGCAACACCACCACAGTCCCTTGTCCTCTTCCTACCCTGTCCTGATCCTTCTCCTGTCGCCTTCCCTACAGAATATCTCTGATCTATAGTTGCCTGATTTTTATATCACTATAATTACTTATTTTTCCTGACCCCTTAATTGGTCCCTCTACCGTCTTCATATAAGTGAGACCATTTGATATTTTTCTTTTTCTTTCTGGCTTATTTCACTAACGTAATCCCTTCCAGCTCCATCCATGTTGCTGTGAATAGCATGAGCTTACCTTTTTTGATTTCTGAGTAATATACCATAATGTATATGTACCACATATTCTTGATTTATGAGTAATATACCATAATGTATATGTACCACATATTCTTGATCCTGTCATCTATTTTTTAATTTTAATTTTATTACATACACATACATTTTCCATCATTCTTCATTTCGTACATTTTTTCATCTCAGTTGTAATCCCCATGGACTTCCTACCAACAATTCACTCATGTGCCATCACCATAGTCCCATAGGTTCATTTCACCCAGTTTTGATCTTCTTCCACAACTTTCCACTACCATAGAATGTCTCTGCTTTATAGTTATTTGTTGATTTTAATTTTTACTTTATTACAATTATTTTATTTTTTTCTGATCCCTTACACTCCTGCTATGAGCAAAAGTATCCAGTATTTTACTCTTTCTTTCTGTCTTATTTCACTAAGAGTTATCCCTTTAAGTTCTATCCATGTTGCTGCAAAAGGCATGAGTTTATCTTTTTTGATTGCTGAGTAATAGTCCATAGTGTATATGTACCACATCTTCTTGATCCAGTCATCTAATTTTGATGAACATTTGGGATGATTGCAGATCAGCAGATCACCTATGATATCAGAGATGACTCTACTGTAAATAGTGCAGCAATAAACAGAGGGGTGCAAGTATCCTTTTGAATTAATGGTTTTGTGTCCTTTGGATGAATACCTAGGAATGGAATTACTGGATCATATGGAAGCTCCATTTTTAGCAGTTTGATAATTCTTCAACTTTCCACAG